GGTGTGCCAAGCAGAAGCGCTCCTTGTGAGACAAGTTGGTGCAGAAATGAAACAGGCTGCAAAAACTTTCCCTGAAGCTGGAAAGTATCAAAACCACAAGCCAAATGCAAATTCTAATTTGTCCAATCCTCTTTTAAAACCATCTAGATTGGTGGCTGTCATGGAGCGAGTTCTCTAGTTATCTATGCATGTTTGAAGAATTTTGTCACCTAGATGCATGGAACTGAAGTGTGGGTAAACATGGTTTCTCTAATCCTAAACTTACTTCTCCACATTTCCACATCAGTCCTTGTGAAAATTCCCCTTCATTTTAGTGCAAATTCCTCCTAATATCCTAATGTTTTATTTTCCTTTTACACGATCTTGCCTAATACGCACGTTTTTGCAAAACAGATTCCCCTAAGATAGTGCAATTTTGTATGTTATTTTCGCCAGCATGTGCATTTCTGGAGAACTGCATTGCAAAATTCAGAGAACCACAAATTTTGACAGGAGGCATCATTTGGGGGGGGGGGGTTTGCATCATTTTGGGAAGTGTGAATTGGGTAGGTTCACCGTTAAATGTGAACGCCTTCAAACGTTGTGGTGCAGTTCTCCCGCAAAGTAATGTGCAGAAAGTCATGCACAAGTGAAAATAACATACAAAAACATTCCTCTTTGGCTGATTGACATCCAATGCCCTTTTGAAATGTGTTGGGGAAAGGGGGTTTATTGGGTTGTTTTTGTTAGTTATTTCTATTATGCATTTCGTATTTTTATATTGTGGTTTTGTGTTGTAACCGCCCTGAGACCTGTGGGCGTAGGGCAACATACAAATTTAAATAAGAATAAGAATTCCTTGCACAAAAGTATGTTAGTCAAAACTGCATGCAAAAATCTGAGTATTAGAATAAATTCAAACCAAATGCTGACAAATTTTCATGAGGCTTATTTTTATTTTTATTATTCAAATTTCTGCAGAAAGGTAAAGAACTTGAATTTAAGCCTGGGGGTGGGATGAAAAACAGGGAACCAAAACGGGCAAATCTGTCCATCCTTAATCTATCGAAACGTGTTGGGTTTGGCCTTTAAGGTGCCACAGAGGGTATTCTCTCTCTCTCTCTATCTCTCTCTCTCTTTCCCTCTTTCTTTCTTTCTTTCTTTCTTTCTAGCTGGTGCCACTTGCATAATTTCTTGCACACAGTGGCACAGGAAATATAAAAGGCAGAAGGAACTGAGAAAGGGTGGGGGCCTCCCTGGGAGGGATAGGGCTGTTTACGTTAACTGAGGCCCCAGCCATTTACAACTTTCTCTCGACGACAAGGCTTGCAGTTGGTTTCTGTGTTATCGTTGCAAGAGGCGATGGTGAAAGGGCTCTTGCGCCATGCAGACGCTCTCGCTATTGAGCTCCAGGGGGCTTCCAGAAGTGGAGCAAGACCCAGGCAAAAAGTCCAGAAAGGAAGGAAGCTATGGCTTTGAAGCAGATCATGAAGCTCGCCAAGGAAGAAAATAAAAGTCGCTACCAGAGAAGAATCCCTGGGACGTGGGTGGCGCTGTGGGTTAAACCACAGAGCCTAGGACTTGCTGATCAGAAGGTCGGCGGTTCGAATCCCCGCGACGGGGTGAGCTCCCGTTGCTCGGTCCCTGCTCCTGCCAACCTAACAGTTCGAAAGCACATCAAAGTGCAAGTAGATAAATAGGTGCACTCCAGGGGGAAGGTAAACGGCGTTTCTCTATGCTGCTCTGGTTCACCAGAAGCGGCTTAATCATGCTGGCCACATGACCTGGAAGCTGTACGCTGGCTCCCTTGGCCAGTAAAGCGAGATGAGCGCCGCAACCCCAAAGTCGGGCACGACTGGACCTAATGGTCAGGGGTCCCTTTACCTTTACCAGAGAAGAATGGCAGATCAAGTTGATGGATTACGCCGAAATGGCTAAAATGACCGGAAGAATCAGAAATCAGGAAGACCAAAATTTTAATAAGGAATGGGGGAAATTTGTAACTTATCTTAAAAACCATTGTAAACAGTTAAAATTGTTAGTGGGATTGGAATAACACTTGTTGCTTAATGGTGAATTTTCGACACAACAGAGAGGTAAAAAGATTTGGATTATTATAAAAGATGCAGGAGGAAATGATTAGCAATAGGACCCAGAAAGGGGAGGAGGGAAGTCCAGGAGGTTCTTTGGAATCTGGTTTCTATGCTGTATGTTGGCTATGTGACTGCAAAATATTATTCTGAAAAACCATATATACAAGCAAATGCAGACAGGCTGGCCAGGGAGGGTTTGCAAATCCACTGCGACCAGAATAAGAAAAAGAAGCAATGCAAAGCTGTATTGGGAAATAGGAAAAGAGAAGGGCCATATATCTCAGTGGCAGAGCAGCTGCTTGCATGGAGTCCCAGGTTTAATCCCCAGACAGGGCTGGAATTTGCCCCCTGCCTGAAACCATGGAGAGTCACAGCCAGTCAATGCAAATAATTTTGAGCTAGATGGGCCAGTGGTCTGACACAGCAGAAGACAGCTTCCTGTGTTTCTATGAAAGATCAAGCGCAGCTTTCATTTGTGGGGTAAACTAGCATCAGAACCACGATGGCAGACAGCTCATGCCTCAGTCTCCTCTCGTTCTCTCTTCACTTGTTGTCGATGTCAGATGTTTGAGTTCACTGCTCCCTTGACCAACTACATTCTTCCTGTGGGGCTGAGGAGCCCAGTTAGATCACCCCTCGCCTGCAGAGCTGGCAGCCTCTCACCCTTTTTCAAACACTCCCTTGTGGGGTGTTCCCTCAGTCTCCTCTCCTTGAGAGTCCTGCAGGCAGCTGCTGCCGCCGCCCCTGGTCTCTGAGCTGCCCCACCCTACCCCAAAGAAAGGTGCCTCCTTATAGTGCTCCACAGAGGCCTGGAAGCTGTCTGTCCATTCCCAACAGCAAGGGCTGGCGGACTGGCTGGCTGGGCTCCCTCGCCCGCTTGCTTGCTTAATCCGAGGCCAACTCAGCTCCTGGCAACCAGCGCCAGCAGCATAGGTAGCCGCTCGGGTGCCCAGTGTGGCACACGTGTCCTGTAGCCAGGGGCGGAGCAAGCCACCCATGGGGGCGGGGCAAACTGCCCACAAGGGCGGAGTGAGCCAAGGCAGGGCATGCTGCGTGGAGCCTCTCCAGAGCCTCCCCCTCAGCTGTAGGGCGGCTGAGGCAGTGGGCAGACGCAAGCCCCACGCTGCATGAAAAAGCAGCACGGAGCTTGCAGGCAGTCCGCCCACCGCCTCCCCCTCAGGAGATATGTGTAGCTCAGGAACACTGCAGGCCCCGTGGTGTGGTGCCCAGTGCCCCCCGCCTCACCTAGCTATCAGTAGCATAGGAAGGGGGTTGCGGGGGGTACAGGAGTTATTTTTCCCAAAAAAAGTGTAGAGAGCCCAATTTTTATTTACTTATTTTAAAAGCACATATTTTGCCATTTTGTCACCCCCCCTCAGTGATGACACCCGGGGCAGTCCACACCGACCGCACTCCCCTTCCTACGCCACTGGCCAGCACCCCCTGACCAGCCACAAAGGCACCATTAACCTCCTGAGCTTGTAGCCAGGGCTGCTGCAACAAACAGCTGTGCAAGCCTTTGGGAGGCAGAGATGCAAGAGGGCATCAGAGGAAGGAGGGAAGGAAAGAGGGACAGAGGCCAGGGTTGCCCACAGCATCCCTGACCATCATTCAGGCACACTGGTTGAAAACCACTAGTTTATGTATTTAGTTTTGCTTAGAATTGGTTTATCCAATTATCTGTTGCTTTATTGAAATCGTTTTTAAAGGGCAAGATTACTCTACAACAGGGTTTCCCTAGCTATGGTCCATGAACTTCATTCAGATGGTCTGCAAATTATCATGGGATTTGCAGTTCAAGATGGGAGACAGCACTTCTGTTGCATTTAATATTCATAATGATCTTTAACCACATTTCATTGCTTCTTTTATCTTTTTTTTATTGTACAACAATTTGCATTCCATTTATCAGACAGCATCTAGCACAGCACTTTGGAATAGCTACAACAAGCAGAAAAATCATTCAGTGGTCTGCCAAGAACCTCAGTGCTCGGGGTGAGGGGGGTTGAGGAACCCCTGCTCTAGGAAATTGGGTTGAGAGGAGAGAAACAAATAGACACAGAGATTCTTGGTGACATCACAGGTGCTGGCCAATCAGCACTATACGCAGCCACCATTAAGCTGGGCACAAGATAGGAACAGTATGTTTGGGGTGAGTGCAGTGCATATTGTGCATATTAAATTTGAGACACACCGTTGGCTTGACACTCTGCAAGAATTTTGCAAACCTGACTGTGATTTTAGCCTCTTGAGTCATTTTCAAAACTAAAAGGTGGAGAGCTAGAAAATTCCCCAGGCATGCTCTGTTTAGGTATTGCATTTATATTCCATACTTGCAGGGTTCAAATAAAAACAAAATCCTTCTCAAGCTGCCAGGCAGCCTCCCTTCCTGCCCCCATTGACTGCTACACATGGGCTTGACTGAGGTGTAGCCCTGTGTTATGTACTGAAGTTCTCACCCTGGGCCAGCAGGGGATACTGTAGATAGTTCAGGTCCACATATGCAAATAAGGGATCGAAAGTGACGTTCAGTGATTGGATAGTTACAGAAAGTTGTTACAGTTACGTTGTACTGGAGCTCTATATAAGCAGGCTGGCTGAACCCTTCAGTTCAGTTCACCCACAACTTAACACCCTGGCTGCCATAAAGGTGGATTGGGGCCTTCTTAAAGGGGCATTCGTGCAAGGCAATCCCTTGCAGATCTTCTCAAGGGGCCCCTCCCAGCCCTACCAGGCAATGCTGGGAATTGAACTTGGTACCTTCTGCATGCAAAGCAGCTGTCCTACCACTGAGCAAGAGCCCTTGCCCTTTCATTAGGGGCTTTGCATAAATGGTGGCTTTCGAGGGGGGCTTGAAGAAAGATCGCAGGCCAGCACTGGCCTGTTCCCATTCCTTAGCGCATCTAACTTTCTCCGTTTTGCTTCCAGACCTTCCAAAGGCCCAGATGAAGGAGCCCAGATGAGTAACGCCACGTGCAATTCCACGGCCATGCAATACAAAGACAGCCAGCATCTTCTGGTTGCGGTATACAGCACCGTCTTTATCATAGGCATCCCAACCAACTGCTTAACTGCCTTCTTGACGCTCGTTCAGATTCGCAAGGGAACCATCGCTGCCGTCTACCTCTTCGGCCTCTCCCTTTGCGAACTGATGTACCTGTGCACCCTCCCTCTTTGGATCCTGTACGTACAAAACGGCCGCGATTGGAAGCTGGGGGACCTATCTTGCCAGGTGACAGGATACATCTTTTTCTGCAACATCTACATTAGCATTTTATTGCTGTGTTGCGTCTCTATCGACCGCTACGTGGCGGTCGTGTACGCGCTGGAAAGTAGAGGGATACGGCGCCAGAGGACGGCTGCGATAGTCACCACCTCCCTCTTTGTCACGGTTGCTGTGATCTATTGCCCCGTTTTTTTCCAGGAAGAAATACAGCAAACGAAGAGCAAGATCTGCTTTGAAACGCCGCTCAACCGCCGTATAGCCTATTACAACGTGGCACGGTTCTTTGTGGGCTTCCTCGTTCCATTCACTCTGCTCCTTTTCATGAACTACCGGATCTTCCGGTGTATCAAGAGCAGCTGCAGCCTCAGCCCACCCCAGAAAACAAAAGTGAAGCACCTGGCAATTGCCATCATTGCCATATTCCTGGTCTGCTTCGCCCCTTACCATGTGGTGCTCCTCATCAGGTCCGGAGTCTACTTTCTCCGCCCAGCGGAGAGCTGCAGTTTCGAGAGAGGCGTCTACACGATCTCTGTAGTGTTCCTCTGCTTCTCCACCGCCAACAGTGTGGCCGACCCCTTCCTCTACGTGCTGGCTAGCGAGAACGCCAGGCGTGAAATTTGCCGGGCTTTCGCGGCGTGTGGGATTTCGCTGTCCAGCAGCTCCAAGACGGACAGCAGCAAGGCCGACGATTCCCAAAGGCCGCCGAAGGAGATAGGAAATAAAGAGGGCAGGTAGCACCACCTCCTCTGCAGAACTTGTTTGTTAAAAAGCAAGTGGGTGGGAGGCAATGCCTTCATCTTCCCCTTGTGTCACTTGGGCTGAGTCACAACTTGCCCACTTTGGGGGATAAGCACTGCCCAGTGCACAGTGCGGTCTCGTTTGCATTGTGCGCGATGAATCGCCCTTTCAGCAAATCCTGGCTGTTTTGCATATCAGGATGATGTCATGATGTCGTGATTTGCAGCTGAATCTGGGGAATGCTTGTTGATGCACCAGTGAAGGACCCCACAACACTGGGAGACCCTGCTGGTGAGGAAGCTGGCGTCGCTTGTGCATGGTTTCTTATTTATTGTCCCCTGTACCAAGAGGAAAGGGTTGGATTACAGCAGTTCAAGAGAATTCTAAATGCAGAGAGGAAACTATTGCATTACCTCTTTGGGATATCCTTTTTTTGTGTGCGATATTGGACCTTGTACAAAAACTCACAAGTTTGTATCTTGAATAAACGACCCACTTCATCACTGCATGCTCCACGTCTAATGTTCACAACAAACGCTGCACGGAAAGCATGTGGCTCTCTCTCTCTGCATGTGGGGGTTAATTGGGGGGGCAGTCACACTAGAGCAGGCATGGCCAAACGTGGCCCTCCAGCTGTTTTAGGAGTACAATTCCCATCATCCCTGACCACTGGTCCTGTTAGCTAGGGGTGATGGGAATTGTAGTCCCAAAACAGCCGGAGGTTCAAGTTTGGCCACCACTGCACTAGAGCAACTGTTTCACACAGTTGTTGTTTTTTTTAATAGAAATTTTTATTGGATTTTACAAAATATAAAAAAGGTACAAAGACAAGAACAAGAGAAAATAAAAACCCAAACACATACTACAAAATACAACAATACAGACATTTAACACAAAAATACAAATTACAAAAATACATACATTAAAAACTAATAATAATAATAATAATAATAATAATAATAATAATAATAAAAACACATATAAAAAAACACAAAAATTCCCTCTTTCTTAATTTCTCATCTTCAATTAACTTATTTTCCCGACTTCCTCACGTCTCCCGTTCTTGTATCC